CAAATAATAATATTAATAATAACAAATAACATTTATATAGTATGTGCCAGGAACAAGAAGCGCAGGAGAATATTATATTGCAGTTGTAAGATCACTGGTCTCAAGTCAAGAATCCTCAGTTCCACTTAGTACTTGGGTGATCTTTAGCAAGTCACTTCAAATATCTCATTTGATCCTCACAAAAACCTTGGGAAGCAGGTGCTATTATTATCTCCACTTTACAGATAAAGAAAGTGAGGCAAACCAAACTTAAATGACTTGCCTCCCAAGTCATGCAGCTAGTAAGTGTCTGAGGCTGGATTCGTACTCAGTGCCTTTTTCTGGGGGGGGGGGTGCCAGCCTGTATCTATCCACTGTGCCTTGACATACCTTAAAGACATATAGCAGTTTAGAAACTCAATGAGTGAAATGAAGTCCTGTCTGACACGTTGTGTGGACTTGGAAAAGTCACTTTATCTCCTGGTACCCATCCCAGGCAACTATGGCTGTAAGTTAAATAGAAGATGCCTTTATGTATTGGTGGAGGGAGTTTAGTCATTCAAAGTTCCCTAAATCAATGACATCATTTATACTTTCTCTATCTCAGTTTTATGTTATTCCACGTTTACTATGTACTTATTTGTGTATCTGAAGCTTCTCCCAATACAATGCAAGCTCCTTTAAGTATTTTTGTCTTCACATCCTCAGTCCCAAGTATTTTTCTTTTTTTGGATTGGGCCTATAATTTTAATTGATATAGGAACTCATAATGAGGAAACTACTCAGAAAAAGCAGTAGAGGCTCTTCAACTTAATAATCTTAAAGCATTGGTCACACATAGTAGACACGTACTCAACGTAAGTTGATTAAGGTTCAGAGAGGTAAGTCACCTAAGACCACACAATTAGTAAGAAGAACTGTGGTTTGAACTCCGAATCCCAAACTCTTTCCACTATACCACTCTATACCTTTATTTTTTTCTTTTCTTGACCTTTTGTAAAAAAGACCAGAGAAGGAAAAATTACCTTACCCTTACTGGGAGTATTCTTAAAGAAGAGAAAATAAATTATAAGTTACTATGAGCTCTTTGTAGGATGGCACGACTGTTCCTCCCGCTGAGTTCATTAGGCCTCGAGAGGCCAGCTTCGGGATGTGCACAGATTTGAGGGGCCTCTGGTTCTGGGGACAAGTCTTAAGTCCTACTGAACACGTAAGAGGCCCAGGATCGGGATGCCCCTCTCCCGCCGGGGAGAGGAACGGAATAAAGGGCATCACAGCATCTAGGTCCTAGGGTTCAAGGAGAGGACCCTGGGGGCTGCCTGAGAAATAAGGAACCTAGGCAACGAGATGAGGAGGGAAAGGCTGCTGAGGTATCGGGGAAGCCCCGGGCTGAGGGGTATAGGAGGACAGGAGGACGCTCATTCAATGCCACTCACATTCGCGAAGGAAAGATATCGATGCGGTCTTTGCCAGACATCCTGGGGGTCGTTGTCCTGCGGCGGCAGCTCGGTCCCCAGGCCTATCACTTCTGGTTTGAAAACCTCCAGTTGCTGCCGAAGTCCTACGCCTCCTCATACAGTCAGCTGGAAAAGGTCACCTGATCACCTTCGCCGCAGGCTAAGCGGAAACGGCTTCGGGCAATCCTTTTCCGGTTCCGTCCGCTACTGCCCGGTGGATGGAGTGAAGAGAAGTGGGAAGGAAAAGAGAAAGAAAGGGGAAGGGAGGAAATGCTCGGATGTTAGTGACAGGCGCGCACTCCTCGAAAACAAGAACAAAAAAAAAACCAAAAAACTTCACACACCTGCCTCGACCCCCCACCCCAATTCTCCCCCTCCTCCCGCGGCAAGTGCACTAGGCACGACCAGCACTGTGAAAAGGAGGGGTGAAGAAGTGGGGGAGGGGGTAAGATAACATCTGCTTCCGCTTCGACTTTACCCACAGTGCCACCTTACTGTCGGGAAGATTTTGGTAGCAGTTCATTGATTCAGGAAAGGGAGTCGGGTTTTGACGCCCGTTCTGAGCAGTTTCCTTGGTGGAAAATAAGTGGGAGCGAGAAAGTGTGTACTTTCCCCTTTCCTAAAGGTCAGCAACCTCACCCATTTGCCCAGCGCCCCCTCCCTCCCGGGAAGACTAAGACTCTATGGTTAAATAAAGGAAAAAAAAGGTTTCGCCGACGTCGGCGCCTGCGTAAAGGGTGAGGGGTAGCCGCGCAGGCGCAGAAGGCCCGGTCTCAACGCACGCTGAGGGAAGCAGCGGCAGGTTCTGGTGCGGCCCGAGTTCTGGGCATCTCCCGGAGTGTAGAGAGCAGCGTGGGGACCCGGTTCGGGACCCTCACACACATATTTCAGGTGACTCCTCCTTCCCTTTCAGTTTCTCCCCGTCCCTCTTAGGCGGGGAGAGGCAAGCGAGCGGAAACGCCGGGCTGGCCACCCCCGCCATCCTCTCTCGCCTGGACCTTCCTCGCGCGGGAAGCAGCCGCCCCATCCCGTCCCGCCCCGCACCGGCAGCCGCCGTGGCCTCGTCGCGAGGCGAGGGCGGCCGCGTGGGGCGGGGAGAGGCGCTCATGGGGAGACGGGCCCGGGAGGGGGACGGTTCGGCCTCGGCCGCCTCTGCCTCGTGGGTCCCCGGGAGAGGCCCCGCGGGGGGTGTGGCCGCCGCATCCCGAGAGCTCTGACACCCCCACCTCCTCCACACGCGGCCCTGCCGGAACGGTGACCCGGGCGCCGGAGTCTTCGGGGACTGCCCGGCTTCCAGGCTTTGTGTACCACTCCTCACGGGCCCTTCCTTCTTCCGCCGCCCCGACAACCCCGGGCCAGACGCGCTGCTGGAGGAATCGGGGACTAGTCGGTCCAACCTCTGAAAGTACGGAGGGGCTGCTAGAAAACCAGTGAAAGACCATGAATGGGCGACCGAGACTGGTGACTGGAAAATGTGTTTAATTCTATAGCACCCTTAATTTATAGGGGTGACCCTAAAGTAAAAGTGGTGAAGGAATGCTACTCTTTTTCATTAGGATCTGTTATGTCGTTTAACAGATGAAAAATTGGCTTTGGGAGTTTGAAGTGACTTTGCCCGAGGTCTTCACTTAATAAGCTGTAGAGTTAGAATCATGGTCAGGTTGACATAAAGTTGGCTGTTGCTGTGATTTTGGAATTCTAGAATTTAGCATTTTCAGTTTTGTATTTGATCACAACAATGAAATTTTACTGTTACATACAGTTTCCATTCTGTGATCTCTTAAAATTTTTCCCGAAAAGTACTCCTAAATGTGGAATTTCTTGATTACTTTCCCTGTCTGAAAATTAGTTACAATTTATTTTGTATAAGTGTAGCACAGTGGATAGAGAATTGGCCTATGATCCAAGGAACCGGGATTCAGGTCTCACCTCTTAGACATACTGGTTGTGTGACTCTGAGCAAGCCATTTAGTCTCTTGGTTATCTAAGCAATTCTCTAAAATTTAGTTGCAGAGAAAGTGCAGCATTTTCTTATATCAGTAAAATCATAAGTCTAGCTCCTAGCTATATTTTGTACATACACACACATTCTCTCTCCTTCCCTCTGGCCTCCTACCCCTCCCTCTGCTCTCTTCTCTGATAGGACATAAACTCCTTATGGGTAGACTGCTTCTTTTTTAGTATTTCTAAGGAGTAAGAGCTTAATAAATGTTGAATGACTGAGTTTTTGTAGTATAAGAAATACGGTTTCATTTTAAGTATAATTTGGGGGGGGGGGGGCTAGGCAATGTGGTTAAGTGAGGCTGCATTTGAACTCAGGTCCTCCTGACTACAGGGTCGGTGCTCTCTCCACTTCTGCCACCTAGTTGCCCCTCATTTTAAGTTTAAAGGAATGTCTAAGGTAATTTTTTTCTCACTTGAATTTTCTCACCAAATTACTTTTTGAAGTTTGTAAAATAGAAATATCTTAATTTCAACCATTTGGGAATTGTTTTTTTCTTAATCTGTTATATGATGGGTTAACTCCTTGTATAGTGCTCATAGCTGATAAATCATCTTCATATCTGTACCCTTATTTAATCCTGTAAAGTAGTATTAACCCTGTTTTTTCAGAGAAAGAAGCTGGCTAAGCAATTTTCCCAAGATCCCATGACTAAGTATCAGAATTGACCAAGATAACCAGCTTGCCATTGAACGCCAAGGCATCACAGTTCTCTGATTCAAAAGAATTTATTAAGTTGTTTGATGTCCAGTATTATTTATGTAGGATTTGGTAAGACAGCAGGCTTTTATATGTAATGAAATACCATGTTATTTTATAAGTAGAAGCAGTCTGGTGAAGTGGATAGACTGTTGATCTTAGAATCAGGAAGTCTTGGGTTCATTTACTGTGACACTAGACCTCTGGGTAAAAGTCACTTTACCTTCTTGTGCTTCAAACAACTCCCTGGGGCTTTGAAGTAATGGATTTCTTGAATTCTATATTGTAGAGGAAGTTCTCGAATTCATTGGTTTGTGATGAAATAGAGATGATTCTGGTGTTTTCCAGTAGATTATTTTGGCAATTGTGTGAAGGATGGTTAGAGAGGGAGAGACTTTTGTTCAGGCAAGAGGTTATGAAGCCTTATCACCATTGAAACATGGGAATTGAAAGTGCAAAGGCTTCAGCTTGCCACCTTGTATCTACCATCCCGCAACTGATCCTAGTGATGGAGTAATATAGAAAATATCACCAGGAGAGTTGTGGTCCCAGAGATTGTTATTATTTCACAAATATTGCAATGAGAACCAGAGAGTATCCAGAAATGGAAACACTGGAAATCCTCAATACTAATTCTCAGAAGCAAGAAACAGAATGGAAAAATAAAAAGCCGTAAGAATTGGGAAAAGGTCACTATTGCAAGGCAGGATGAACAGCTACGAGGAATGAGAATGAAAGGACAGCCAAAGAAGATTTTGTAAATAATATGGAAAAGACTTTTCACTGCACTGAGTGGAATGTGTCACTTGGTTGTGTGATATTTTTTTTTTTAATTTTTTTTATTTTTAGGCAATTGTGGTTAAGTTACTTGCCCAGGGTCACATAGCCAATAAGGGTCAAGTGTTTGGTCTGAGGCCGGATTTGAACTCAGGTCCTCCTGACTTCAGGGCCGGTGCTCTGTCCTGGTTGTGTGATTTTTAGCCCCAAGTCCTGCAAACTGAACAAAGATGTCTTCGAAAGTGGTTAGTCTTTATCTTCCTCAAGGAGACACCCCTCCCCCCTCCAAGTTTGATGAAGAGAAGAAGCCTGATGAAAACACTACAGTTGCAGTACCTTAATCTTATTCAGTAAAGCTATTTACAATAACTAGGTTAGTTACATTGGGGTTTTTTTGGGGATCATTGTGTTTACAATTAAGCGTAGGAGTAATAAGAAAAGTAAAAGGCAAGACAGTTTTGTTTTTTTTTTTAGGTTGGAGAAATGGTCTTTGTCGTATTGAATGTAGAAAAGTTAACAGGACATCGAGGGATCTGGACTTGGATGTATGAGCAAATTCAAGTGGCAAAAGAGAAAGAACCTCATAGAAAAAAGTGGCATTCAGGGTTTTTTTTAATTGTTTTTTGTGGCATTTAATTAAACTAGTCCTTCTCTATGTCTGAAATTATTTCCTTGTTATCACAGCTCTTTTTTCTCCTCTTAATATACATAGTAATACTTGTTTTCAGAGAAATTAAGGCTAGGATGAGGTGGTTGTCTTTCGGTTGGACTTTTTAAAAATAATTGTTTTTTTAAAAAAACTACCATTTGAGTTTTATCGTTATCTGCTATGAAGGAATAGTGCTTCTGGTTTTGCTGCCTTGAAAGACTTGGAACATCTTTATAACAACAATGCTGCCCTACCCATCGTTTGATATTGCTTAAAATGGGACTATTATTATAGTACTTTACTCCTGGGCAGTACCTTTCATCCTTAGTTCTCAGTGTTTTACAGACACTAATTATTTTTACAATATCTCCTTGAAACTAATGGTAAAGACACACCCATGCTCCACAAAAATCTTTAGCAAAATTAAAATTTGTTTCTTCATGGTGTACTCAGAAAATGGTTAAAATTTGAAAATAAACACATTTTTCTTTTTGGTGGCAAGATACAGAAATTTCACCATCTTAAACCTATAAACTTTATGTTGGCTTCCATCTGAGCACTGTTTGGTTCTTTCATTCAAATTGCAGAATGCCAGGACTAAGTTGTAGATTCTACCAGCACAAATTTCCTGAAGTGGAAGATGTGGTAATGGTGAACGTACGGTCCATTGCTGAAATGGGAGCTTATGTCAGCCTATTGGAATACAACAATATTGAGGGCATGATTCTTCTTAGTGAGCTCTCTAGAAGACGTATCCGCTCCATTAACAAACTCATCCGAATTGGCAGAAATGAATGTGTGGTTGTCATTAGAGTGGACAAAGAAAAGGGTAAGTTAAAAATGAATTAGGAAATTGCTCTTGATTTGAATGTCAGAAACATTGTTTTTGAATATTTTTATAAATTGTCTACTTCAAGTAAAAAGTGTCAAGTACTGTTTTTTTTAATAAGCATGACTTGATCAACCCCCGTTTATGATGTATTTCTTTGACTCCTTTAATAACCTTCCCCTTCCATATAAACATTAAGGCAATTCTCATTGAAGAATTGCAGGCCTGAATTGTAGAATCCACTATCACAACTTACCTTTTTTCTTACTCATTCCTGCATACCTGCATTTTCATCCCTGTATATCTTCTTTCCTCAAGGCCCCACCTTAGCTGACACCAAATCTATGAGGTCTTTCCTAATTGAGCCACCTAAAAATGATTTCTCTATGTGTTTTCCAAGAAAACTACCTGCATCTTTCCTTTGCATTCTTCACAACGCTACCTTTATACTTATGCATACATTTCATACAGTCCCTAAGCTCTTGTATGGAACTATCCTGGTTTTTCACCTGTGTATTCCCACTGCCTTGCAGCTGGTAGGTACTTATATTTTGGATAGTTTGGAAGATGTGGTAATGGTGAATGTTAAAGCAATCAGATGACATTTATTAAACATGATAAGCTCATAATGTAAGCAAGAAGATAGATACAACATGTACACATGTCAGTATATACAAAATAAGTAAACAGTGATTTGGGAGGAAAACACTAGCAGCTGGGGAGATGAAGAAAGACTTTATATAGAAAATAATGCTTCAGTGAGAGAAGTAAGGAGGGAGTGCATTCAGCCTGTGCAAAGGCACACACCACAGGAGCTATGGAAATGGAACACCATATATGAGAAATGGGACGATTTGTGTATGTGGTGGAAAATAGTGTATAATCAGACCAAAAAGTTAGGATGGAGCCAGTTTGTGAAAGTGACAAGAGCCTGTTTTATCCTAGAAGTAATAAGTAACCACTAAAGTTTTTTGAGTAGAAGAATAACATGATGAAAACTGTTTTAGGAAACTCATTTTGGCATCAATGTAGAGGATGGTTTGGAAAAGAGAAAAACTTAAGACAGGGAGACAAATTAGGAGGCTATTGCAATAATCCAGGTAAGATAAGGGCCTAAACTATGTGTTGTTCAGTTGTGTCTGATTCTTTGTGACCCCATTTGGGGTTTTCTTGGCAAAGATACTGGAGTGGTTTGTCATTTCCTTCTCCAGCGTATTTTAAAGATGAGGAAACTGGGGCAAGCTCGGTGAAGTCATACAGCTAATAAGTGTCTGAGGCCCAATTCGAACTCAGGTCTTCACTCTACCACCTCACTGCCCCGCTGTTTGATGTAGTGATTAAAAAGGAGGAGACAGATACAAGAAATGTTGTTGAAGTATAAACAGCACAATTTATCAACTTATTAGTATGTGAGGGGAGAGAAAGAAAAAGTAGAAGGGGCATCATGGTTGGGAACCTGGATACCTAGAAGGATAGTGGCGTTTTGGATCGAAATAGGAAAATTCAAAAGAAGTCCAGATTGAGGACATAAATAATGAATTCACTTTTGAATGTGTTTAAGATACCATGCTTTCCAGTTCAAGATGTCAAGTAGATATAGAATAGTGATGTCGAGCCTGGAGCCCTATAAAGACACAAGGGCTCCATGTATAGTTATGGAAGTCATCTGCATAGCAGTGATAATTAAGCCTGTGGGAGATGATGTGATCACCTAGCAAGAGACGATAGGGAGATGAGAGAACAAGGCCCAAGACAAAACCTTGGAGTATTCCCGAAATTAGGGGCCATGAAATGAGCCAGCAAAAGGAGACTTGAGAAAAGTGGTCCTGTAGGTAGAAAGAGAACCAAGAAAGAATAGTGTCACAAAAACCCAGAGAAAAGAGAGGATCCAGTAGGAAAGCATTGTTAACACTGTGGAGAGAACAAGGAAGGAGAAGATTTGACAAGACCATTAGACTTGGCTAGCAAGAGATCACTGGTGACTTTAGAGAGAATAATCTGTTGTTATAAAATTGGAAATCAGATTGCAGAGGGTTGAGATAGGTAACTTTTAAAAAGTAATTCCTGAGAAAGGGATAATAGAGGGTATGTTAGGACCTAGTGAGTTGTCTTTCCCAGGATGGGAAAGACTTTGACATGTTTGTAGGTACAAGTTGTAGATTGAAAAGGGGAATGAGATCAAAGGTTCACATAGGGAGAGCTTGGTCCTAGTAAGTAGAAGGGCCATCTGTTTGTGCCAGAAACTGGAGTAAAGGAAGAGAGACCATGTTGAAGGGATGTAGGATAAATAAGGGGAGAGGAGTGAGTTGAAAGTCTCTCTTTTCAGTAAAATGAGACTAAATCTTTTTTTTTTCCCAGTAAACTAAAAAAATCATCCACAAACATGAACATGTCCATACCCAAAAATGGAGATTGTATATAAAACCACAGTTTGACTACATCTAGTTTATTTCTGTTAACGTACATTAAATCCAGCAGTAGGAACACAAAGGAGCCATATAGTGGGAGTATTCCAGAATTGGAATTTGGCAAGGAATGAGTGGTGATTAGGAATAAGGGATTTGACCTTAGAAAGTAGTGTAGATTTGAACTGGCTAATTAAGGGATTGAGACTGGGAAGAGAGGAGAGAATGAATGCAGGGTTGAAAGCTTATCGAATTTATACTGTCCAATATTGTTTACCACTTCTTTATGGACCATTTTATATTACTCTCTGTTTCACATGTTTAACTTCTGAAAGAGATTATAAGCTTCTTGAGAACAGGGACTTGGTCTTAAGTTTCTTTTTTCTCCTTCATGAAACTTCCCATAATGCTGGCTACCTAGCCGGGTACTCAATAATAATCAAATAATAATTTGATACTATTAAATAAGCCTCTATCTTTCCTTTTTTAAATTTAGAAAGCTAGATAATTTGTATTATGTCCTTTGAGGACAGAATGTAGGCTTGCACTTTTTATTCCTTCTATTATACACTTCCCAAAGTTGTTTAAAGGGATCAATTTAACTATTTAGTTGATTCTTTTTTTCCCCAAAGCAAAAACTGACAACCGAATATAGCTTTTTCTTTGTACTTCCTCTTAAGTAACTACCACTATCTTGATTGCTTGGACAGCTTTTTTTATTACTTTTATGGGTGTATACTTCTATTCCTTAAGAATAGCTAAGTTGGGAATTTAAGAGTAATTGTAAGAGTAATTTAAGAATTTGTAGAGTGCTTTACAGATGTTTCCTTACCCAAATAACAAAGTGTCATCTCCATTTTATTTATGGTTGAGAAAACTGAGGCACAGAAGTAAAGTGACTTTCCCATAGGCACACAGCTGTTATCAAAGGTGAGATTTGAGGAATCTTCCTGATTCTTAAGAGCTATTACTCATCACTATAAGACTTGTGGTCTAATTCATATGCGTCCATCCATACATACTTCATCTCGTGCAGCTCTATTTGTGTCCTCAGTAGAGCTGGATCCAGCATGCCAAGGGCATTTCTCTAGGTTTTTTGACACTAAGGTAGGTCCCAGTGGAACACAGAACTCTGCATCTATTATCCTTCCCCTTTCATAACGTAACTGGCTCACCTCCTCTTTCTTTTGTTTGCTTCTTTAATGATGTCTTTGGGTATGTAATTATTGTTTTTGGCAGTATATTGTAGGCTGTTAAAATCTGACATCCACCTCTCCATTGATATTTACCCTTGTTTCAGGGTAAAGCTTGGGGTCATTAAAAGTACTAATCAGCTTCCAAAATGCAATCCAGTCTGTTTCCTTTCTCCTATTAGATTCTGGGTCTAGTTCATTACTCATTTTCATTGCCTGTCCAAGTATGTATGTATGTATGTATATATCACGTGTGGACAGAAAGTTGGGCTAGTTCTGTAATTTGTTCGTTCAACCAAGTATCATAGTCTGGACAATAGTCATTTTTAATCCACTTGTTTTTTTCTTGTGGGGAAGGTTAAACCAAGCTCTTAAGTGATTATGGCTTTCACATGCATTGCTCTGGGACTTAATGCAATAGGCACATCTGGCAAGCAGAAGCATCTGTAAGGATCTGAATATCTAACAGGAATCCTTCTTTCATTTGGACTCTTGCTTGAACTTCCTCACTGGTGATGACAGATATCTTGTATCTCTCTATTTTATGCTTCATTTGATATTACTAATTAAAGGGGCACTGAAAAAAGGCATATAGGTAACAGATGCCAGCCTCCAGGTAGAAAAGTCATGGACTCAAGGCAGATGGGGAGTGGGGGTGGGAGCAGAGTATGGGTAGATGGATATAGATATGGACATAGCCTACGTGGGATTTGTTTTGTTTGATTACACATGTTTTCTTGTTTTCTCAATTTGAGGAGAGGAGTGATAGAATATGGTCCTGGTAATAAAATAACATGGAATTAAACAAAAAACAGATAGCAGAGAAATTAGAACTATTCAACTTTTATTTCCATCAAGAACAATCTTCAAACTTAAAAGGGTAGAGCAAATTTGGTTAGAACAAAATTGAAGCCCGGGATGGGTAAGGAAAATAGTAAGGACACCCACCACATGTCATGAGAAAAGTACTGGATGACTAACCAGGTTAAGTTGCATTCTACTTTTCGACTTACTAGCTCTGCATTGTTGACTAAGTCACTTACACAGCCTCAGCTTCTGCAAATGTCTCAATTTTCAGAAGAGAGAAGGTAAATTCAAAAAAATGATAAATCAGTTTGATATATGCATCTGGGCAAAATTACATAGCAGGTTATTAAGTGGTAGTTTTTGAGCACTTAGAGAGGGAGGCAATAATCACTGAGTTAATATTGGTTCATTGAGAACAAGTTATGCAAAACCAACATTGCTTCCTTTCAGTTCAACAAAAATATAAATGCCTGCTTTGTGCAGAACACTTTAAACAACAAAGGAGGATACATAAGACATTTCTGATCTAAAGGAATTTAATTTAGTATAGGAATTAGGCATAAACAGATAATACATGAAAAGGTTGTTATGACAAGTATCAGGTCAAGGAGGGCTTTCTGGAGAAGGTGGCACTTGCATTGGCCTTAAAGGATCAATAGGAATTTAACATGGAATTGACAGAAGAGAGGACATTCTAACTTGAGTAAAGGTACATGAACAAAGCTCAGAGCACATTTGGGGACAGAGTGGCTTGGCTGAATTATAAGTAAAGCACAGGTAAGAAATAATTTGAGAGAAGGCTTAAGGACCTTGAATTCCAGGGAAAGTACACTTAGTTCTGCTATAACACTTGTTTCAAAATTTCTTCCAGTATGAGTGACATTCTAGGGAACATTGTGAGCGTAACGTAAATTCCAAGTTTGCTTCTGCACCTCCACAAGTAAGCTTCTGGTCTTTGTCAAAGTAAAGGGCCAGATTGTATATCTTCTGGTGTAATAGGAGCTATGAAAGGAGAAGAATCGAGTCTGGTGCACATCACTCCCTTTCCCCTTCTACTATGGCACAGGCTGAGCAGCAGCCTGGGGTTGTTGTATTGTTTATGTATTTGTTAACCAATTGACATTTATAAAACTGTGCTACTTTTTATTATGTTCCTATCTTTTTTGACAAGTTTTGGAATGTTATTCCCCAAACCCATGTTTTCCATAAGTTCTATTGTTTTATTGCATAATTTTGCATAGCATGTATTAAGTTATAGCAGAATGACCTGTAATAATGACATGTAATCTGTAGGCAGTAGGAAATGACCAGAAAGTTTTGGACAGAGTAGACATATATAAGGATAGATTGGAGAGAAGTAACAACATAGGCAGTCAAAATGGAAAAATGTAGGAAGGTTAAGTAGATTTGTAAAGTCAACAAGCATTCCTGAAGATGGCCAATTAATGGATTTACCTGCCCTAGATAATCTTTTTTGTTGCCACTGGGTTCTGATCTTTGCTTCATCCCTCAACATTTTTTTTTTTTTCAACGATTTGCATGAACCCATGTTCATCAGATTTTCAGATGGCACAAATCAGGGAGAGATAACCAATGTGAATCCAATTTATTAGGAAACATTCAAGATTTAAGAATGTCTTCACTAGTAGTTAATAATATTCTGAAACTAAAAGCTGAAATATGCATGGGACAAATGTGAAGTCCCCATTTCAATTTGAAAATAATGTTGAGGGAGACTTGAATTCACAATGGATCCATAGGATTATAGGTTTTAGAGTGCCCAGTCTCCTTTTTATAGATGAGAAAACTCAGATTTAGGGTAACTTATTTAATCCATTCAAGAAGCAAGTAGAAGAGCTAGGAATTGAACTAGGTCCTCTGACTCCAAATTCTGAATATTTATCTGTGAAAGTTGTGATCTCAAGAACATTGTTTAGAAATCCTAATTTTTCTTAATTTCCTCATGTCAGGATATATCGATTTGTCAAAAAGAAGAGTTTCTCCAGAAGAAGCAATCAAATGTGAAGACAAATTCACCAAATCCAAAACTGTAAGTTTAATATTAGAAGAAAACTGTTTAAATTAGTGTCCTTCACAACCAGATTGCCTTCCCATAACTCAAGGTAACATGTATGATTGATGGCATGTTGTATTTTAAAATAATAGGAAATCAAGACTAATTTCAAGAAAATATTCGTTGGTTAGGTTGAGGACAGACTAGTGGTTCTAATAGATATTCCTAGGTTTGCTGTTGACTTTAAAATTATTAAAATAGACTTTTGGAGTCAGAGAGGGTTTACAATAAGGAGACCTTAGCAATGATGTACTTACAGTTTTATATCCAATGTAAAGAAGTTAGTGTTGAAAGTTATTGTTTTAAGATAGCTTTTAGCCAATTTAACTATACATAATTTCTGCTAACTTTGGTTTGTGGCTAGTTAGGTAGTCCCCTTTTCTCTAAATTTTGGAATTTTAGCCATTTTTGGCTCCTTTTGGCTCTTTTCTTTGGGGATGAGGATCACAGATACATCCTGCTTTTTGTTTTAAGGAGGAGTAGGACTTGGGTAACAGCTTACAAGATCTCTGAGCTTGGAAGGACAGCAAAGGATCTGTAAACTGGTTTGTTGTTACTACTGTTTTTGCTTTTCGGGGTTTTTTTTTTTCCGCCCTTTAATTCTTTCTGGCAGTGTCCCTGCATGTTAGTCATGGGCCAAGAGAAGCCTCTAGGTAGTAGAAGCACTGACTTCGAGTCACATGACCTGAGCTCTACTGGCTCTACTACTTAGTATGTAAGTGCTTTGTAAACTGTGCAGTGCTGTATGAATACCAATTATTACTATTCATTGTGTATCTCACTAAAGTTCTAACTCAGAGGCCTCAGGATGGTATGCAGGTGACTCTGGGTTCATTAGAGCCACTCATGAAACTGTCTACTAAAAAATGGAGCTATAATGCAATCTGTGTGGAGGAATACCCACATGGATCCTTGAAGTCTTGCCCTCTTCCATTGATGCATGCTTCATCATTTCTGTGTTTTAGTTTTTTATCTTTTGCCAGCTCCCATCCAAATTCACTACCAATGTTTGTGCTGTTTGTTCCATTTTCCTGGGATCATTATTTGTCTTTTGTACTATTGGGTTTTTTCGTTCTAATTTCAGAGGTAATTTTCTCCCTTGTCCCATGCCCTCTCTAAAATAATGTCAAAATCCCTATAAATTAATGGTTTAAAAAAATTGCTAGTTATCACTTACTGTTAAGTGATTCGACTTCATTGGGCATCTATAAACTGAGGAAGATGAAGTACATAGTTTTTAATATCTTTTCCATCCCTAAATCCTATGAGCCTAAAAGTATAAGGAGTTGAGCTCTTTTACAAAAAAAATTAACCACTCAAGTTTATTTTCTTATGGAGGGAATGCATATTCCAGATAGCATTCCTTTTGATATCAACCTTTAATATGTGCAAAAAGCTTTATTACAGAAACTCGTAACTGTTATATACTCAAATGAAATACAGCAAAAATGTTGAGTTCTACATTAAAAAATCCAAATATTACATTACATTTGTAGGAGATGTTTTTTGAGTGGGCTATACCAGAGGTGTCTGGCAAAAATTGCTTCCAGGATCCATTCTTTTTGAGTTTGACACCACTGATCTACACTGATGAAATCACAGGTCCAGGACCAACCTTCCCTTTTCCCAAAAAACAAAAAATTATTTACCTGCTTTTTTTAGAATTGTAGCTGAGGGAGAGAGTAGTCTTGGCTGGTGCCACACACACACACACACACACACAGAGCTTTAATTGCGTTTCATTTATAAATTAAACGGGGGAAGGGAATGAAGAATGTGGAGCAAGATCACCAAGAAACTAACACAGTCTATAAAACAAAGTAGTAGTGATACAGATGAGTGTTTTTCAAGCTGTTAAACCTCCCTTTTTGATTCTAGGTTTATAGCATCCTTCGCCATGTTGCTGAAGTGTTAGAGTACAGTAAAGATGAGCAGCTGGAGAGCCTATTCCAGAGAACTGCCTGGGTCTTTGATGACAAGTACAAGAGACCAGGATATGGTGCCTATGATGCATTTAAACATGCAGTCTCGTAAGAATCTTTTTAAGAAATTGCATTTGTACTCTCGTAGAAGGCAGATGCAGAGTCTTAATGCACCTGTTAACAACATTTAATAGTTTAATAATAGAGTAAAATCTTGTTATTTCCATCAATGCAAATCAGCAACTAGTTTATAACTTAAAATCTTAGGCAGTTACATGGAGCACTGAGAAGTTAATTGACTTGCTCACATAATTACTATTTTTTTGAGTGAGAACTTGAACACCAGGTCTTCCTAATTTCAAGGCTAACTATCTTCTGTGCCGCACTATAAGCAGAAAGATTTTCCACTCACCAAATTCTGGTGAAATAATAGCTCTGGACCAAAAAAAGAAATCTTGGTATTTAAAAGACTGAGATTGCTTAAAAGATGTGCAACTACTGCCACTTTTTGTCCTGAGTTGCTTTGATTTTAAAATTGGCAAAAATTATTCTATGTTCCATTTTCTTACAAATCAGCCTAAATGGAAGTCACATCCAAATGGTTATCTATTTGCCCCTTAGAGTAAGCAAGCTCTAATCCTTATAGGAAGTAGATTTCACAATTGAGACTGATCTGACTCTTCCTCAGCATTCTCTGAATGAGCAGGTTATGTTTTTCCTTTGCTTCTCAAGGATTTCCTGAGATACTTAAGTTGATTGTCAAATTCATTTAGCTGTGAGCATTCTCTAAATTTAGAACCCTGATTGGTCCCTTAATGCCTAGATTTTGACCTGTGGGTTTTCAAGATGAGTTTTAGACAAACCATACAAAAGGCCTTGATGTTCCTTCTGTTGATATGACAGTCAAACATGGGAAGCTTTTTTAAGGCAAAGGATTTTCATATTTTATTTGTGTGCTTATTTTTATACTTTTTTTTAAAAGTACATTCCACATTTTTTCAAGTAAGAAATTATAAAACTGATATTTACATTGCTGCCTTAGTGTTTACAAAGTATTGCATATTCTGATTTGATCCTTGCAGTGCTCCTTTGAGGTAGATGTAGGTATTGTCCCCATTTTACAGGTAAGGAAACTGAGATCCAGAATGATTAAGTGACTTTTACTTGTGGTCACATAGCTAGTAAATGTCAGGAGTAGGATTTGAGCCGATGACTCCAAATCTCGTGTTCTTTGTTTACACTGTGCCACGCAGTCTCTCATTTCCCACTGCACTGGGTCGGGGCATTGCTCGTGGGGAGGACAGCAATATAAGAATCCAGAGAGGTCAGATCCTTTTGATTTGCTTGTGGGTACTCCCACAATTTCTATTTTGATGTTGACCTTTAAGATTTTGTCTAGGTCAACATGACATATTGTTAATGTTTTAATTCTAATCAGTCAAGCAACATTTATTAATCACCTACTATATGCCAGGCACAGGTTGTCACTATATTTCCACTTGGCTTAATGAGTATTTGATACATCTAAAATTCCTTTTAATTCCTTCTTCAGATTAAATTCTTAAAGCATAATTACAAAAAAATTGGGGACTTTTCTGTTCTGTAACCACACAGGTGTTTGAGGTGCTATTCCAGGGCATCTATATTCCATTTCCATCCACAATAAGAATGAATTAATAAATAAGTAAAATAGTTCATGGTTTGTTTTTTAATAGTTGCATGGTAATTTAGATGCATTCACTATGAATGAATCTTGGTGTTTTTATTCTGTCTTATCATTACTACCTTCCTGTACTCAAGTAGATGAATATCATTACATTGGGCTTTTGCATATGAGGTTCTTGCTTGAAAATTAAATAGAAAAAGGAAGTGATTTGTTAAATTTATTTTCAGCCCACTAGACAGTCTGTATTTCCCATGTACCTTTTAAGGAAATAATACATTTATTTTTGTATGTCATCATTTAAACAGTGCTTACTATGTACCAGGCACTGTGCTGAGAGAGAATAGCCTGTGCCTTTAAGGCACAGACAACATACATACATAAGTACAGGCAAGATACAAGGCGGGGTGGGCACTTCTAGCAACTGGAGGGAGCAGGAAAAGGACTACCGAAAAAAGAGATCTCTGTAGAAGACGACTGGAAAGATAGAAAATAACTAGCTTGGGAAAAGCTTTTAAGTGTCAAGCCGGGAAGTTTAAATCTGATCCTAGAGGCAATAGGGATCCACTCGAGTTTGTTGAGGTAACATGCTCGTATTGGCACTTTAGGAAAATCACTTTGGTAGTTGTTTAAAGGATGGCTTGGAGAGGGAAGAAACTTGAGGCAGGGAGAATAATTAGGAGTCTTGCAGTAATCCAGGCAAGAGGTGATGAAGATGGTAGTTGTTGAGGGAGAGAAGGTGACATGTATGGAAAGATACTGTAGAGTTAGAAATGAGATTACAAAGAGGATATATTATTTGTAGAAACTGTCAGAACTTAGTACGTCATTGTAAAGAGCTGTGAGTATGTTCAAATATATTAACAGTAGTAACACTTTTAGGGGTGGCTCTAATTACAAGGTGAATTCAATGAAGCAAATTTGTGAAGTGCAAGTTACTATGCCAGGCAGTGTAGAAATAGTGGATACAATGAAATGTTAGAAGAATTAGAAAACTCCTAATGAAATTGCCCATCTTCCTCAGAGCCCCAGAAATTTTGTTTCTAACAATTTGTATGTAATGTCACAATCAATATTAGCACATTCAGTTTTTTAAATTTACTTCAGAGACCCTTCAATCCTGGATGGACTGGATTTGAATGAACGTGAAAGACGAGTGCTGATTGATAACATAAATAGGCGCTTGACACCACAGGCTGTCAAAATCCGAGCTGGTAAATATGAAGTTGTTTTTGTTTTGTTTTAAGATTTTGCATTCATTAAGAAAACTGTTTTAATAATGAATCTTACTGAATAAAAAATTGCTAGATAAGCAAATTGAATAGTAGCTAACATTTATATAGAGTTTACTCTGTGCCAGGCACTGTGGAATTATTATTTCAATTGATCACAACAGCCTTCCAAAGGTAGGTGCTATTATGAGGAAATTGAGGCAAAGAGGTTAAGTGACTTGCCCAGGGTCACATAGCTATTAAGTATCTGAGGCTAGATTTGAACTCTTTGTCTTTCTGGCTCCAGGACCAATGCTCTGTGCTACCTAGCTGCCCCATATAATAATGTATAATGAAAAAAATTTGCAAAGATACCAGTCTTTTGATCTTTACCAGGAAAGAATACTTAGAATATACTATTTTGCTGCTGTTGAATTTTCACAAAGTTTATATATTATACCAATGAAGCCTGTTACAGTTATCAATTCAACAAACTCAGTGATTTCTTAAATTTGGGGGGGGGGGGTAGTTTAATCATTGGAAGAATTTATGTAAAGATGAAGGGGGACATAAACTCTTTAACTCTATGAGTAAGAAATGATGAGATTACAAAATAGTGTAGCTTCCATTTTGTTGTGTAGTTGAGATAAATGAGAATTCATGATGTGAGATAATATATGCAGAAAAGCTGTTATGTCAGATTTTTAAAACCTTAAAATCTTTGGAATCTGTTCACATTCATTCACTGTTATCTGTTTCTTAGATATCGAAGTGGCTTGTTATGGTTATGAGGGTATTGATGCTGTAAAAGAAGCTCTGAGAGCAGGTTTGAATTGTTCCACAGAAAACATGCCCATCAAGGTAAGTGACACCCAACCCACATACAAAATCTAGTCTTGTCATTCTATTTTCTTACTTCACAAGAAAGCGGTTTCTTTTTTAGTTCATGTATATTTCTTAGATGAGTTTATGACTGACCATAATAATGTATTTTCCCCCCTTAATCATAAAATAAGGCAATTGTTTAGAGGTAAGATTGAGTGGAAAGAGACATTGGTCACTCAGGTCTGATGTTCCTAAACTAAATGGTATTTTAAAATAAAAAGGCTGGAACTGGTCACTTAATATAATAATTATACTGTGAAGAGAGTTTCATTGTATTCAGAATTTGGTAGGATTATTATCTTCCATTCTGTTGTAGATTAACCTGATAGCACCTCCTCGGTATGTGATGACTACTACAACCCTAGAGAGAACAGAAGGCCTATCTGTCCTCAATCAGGCTATGGCTGTCATCAAAGAAAAGATTGAGGAGAAGAGAGGTGTCTTCAATGTTCAAATGGAGGTGAGAGAGATTTTATAAGGCCTTAGTTAGTGCCTTGGTTATTTATATGCTATTAAACTTTTAACTTTCGTAGTGGGAAATTAAGTATTAGGGCTATTCTTATTAATAAAATTAACATGTATCTGACTGAGCAAAATTTTAAAAATTAAAATCAGATACAAGTATTTGGACCAGTATTTTGGATTAATAAGAGGAGCTGTCAGTGGAAAACTATTCATTTCTGGTGCTCTCAGATCTTATTAGAGGGTTTTGTTTTTGAGGGAGAAATGGCCCTTTAGGGGAGAAAATGAGTAAATATTTCCAGAGTTTGTTACATAAAACTTCATTTTCTTCTTTGAGGTTTCATATAAAAATTACCTTTTCCTTATTTTTAACTAAAAAAAGTTATCAATCTCAAAATAAAGAGGTTACAACTAACCCCTGCCTGACCCACTCTCATGCCACCTTGAAATGTATGACAGAAATGTTCAGAGAAGATGAGAGAGGCAGGAGTGATAAATTTGCTATAATTATTGATATTCAGATTTTGACTTGTCCAAAGCTAGAATGTTAGGTACTCTTCACTCAGCTAGTGAATTATCTCTTTTTGATTATAACAGCAACAATAATAATAATAATAATAGTAATAATAGTAACTGGCATTTATACAGCAATTTAAGTTTTTCAAAGTACTTTACAAATATTAATTCTCATTAGATCTTCACAACACTATTAGGAGGGTGCTAATTATCATTCCCATGAGAAAACCAAGGTAGACAGAGGTTGATTGACTTGTTCAGGGTCAGACGATTAGCAATCACCTGAAGCTAGATTTGAATTCAAGTCTTTCTGACTCCAGGCCCAGCACTCTCCTCAGCTTCACTGCTCTACTCTTTACATATTTGTGTCTAATGGTGGCCACCTTTAAGGCAGGGTAGAGAAGAGGCACAAGAGTGAAGGAAAAAAAGAAAGTTACATGATAACTTTACTCTGCATTGAAAAGGAATAGCAAGTTGTACGTAAAGTTGACATGTGCAGTCATCTTTTTTTTCTATTCTGTGTTGTGAGGAAAAAAGATTAGATTTATGTAATCTCAGAGGTCCCTTTTATCTCTAAAAGCTCTGAGATTCTGTGGTTCCTGCTGTGGATCTCATTTTGAAATTCAAACTTTCATCCACGTTTTGGTGGGATTTTAGATGTTCCCTAGAGTAGTTATTTTCACAGACAGAAATATGAGTTATTTTTAAAAGTTGTTGTATTTAAGAATTTAGTAAAATGCCAGGTCACAGGGTTTTTTTGTTTCATTTAAATTGAAAAATATTCAAGAATTTCTTCCATTTGTGACTGTTGATAACATTATCATTTATTTTGAAACTGTCAAGTATTTTACTGGGCGATTATGGAAGTTGCCATTTTGAAGAATTTGCTGCTAGACACTAAAATGTGTCAGAGAAACGAAATTGGCTGCTTGATTATCTCTTACATCTTGTGTAATATGCTGGTCTTCCTTCCACAGCCCAAAGTGGTCACAGACACAGATGAAACTGAGCTTGCAAGACAGCTGGAGAGGCTTGAGAGGGAAAATGCTGAGGTGGACGGAGATGATGATGCTGAAGAAATGGAAGCCAAAGCTGAAGATTAACTATTTGGGAAAAGGCATCCAGCTGGAGGAACACAGACCAGCTCTTCCTGGCTTAGACACCGTAGACTTGAAAGTTTTCCACTATTGAAAACTTCAGAGCTGAATATTTTGTATTTCAAAGTATTTAAATGTTTCAACAGACCAGCATGTGAGCCCTCCCAAATGCTGGCACATTGATCTCTTTTAAAGGGAGTGGCCTAATTTCACTAAGAGACTAAAACCCCGAAGCTGAGATCATCCACACAATTGGGCCTGAGGTTTTCAATCTCTACTTCTGATTGGCAGCCCCTTCCATTTAGTGCCTCTTTGAGTTTACCAGGAGCACCAAAAGCAAACAGTCCCAATCTTTCTATATTCATTGTACTCAAGCAGAACATTCAATAAATTTCTGGGATATTTAACTAGGCTTCTTCCCTCCTTCTTCACTCCTATTGAAAGCATTCCCCATCAAAGTATAATGGGAATAGGGAGTTAAGAATCCAGAGTTAGGAATACCTGGGTAGGTGAGCAACTGGTCTTTGGGATCATACCTCAATGAAAAAAGAAAGGATTAACTCCTTGGATTAGAAAAGTTTCTGTCTGCTAGAAAAAGAGGACATTGCAACATCCTTTCAAGAAAGAAGGAAAAGCAGAAATAGGTGGTTACCTCTACAGTAATAGAGTGTTGCAGTTTTGGTATCGGACACAAAAAGGTTTAAGCATTTGAGGCTCTTAGGATGATGGTTCTTAAAATGCAACTAAGTAATTGTACTGTACCTCTTAACTGCCTAAAAATAATGATCATAAGTGGTGTGATTTATCATCATCCAGGTTTTATATTGCTTCACTTGATATTTGCCTTTTAAGTTATAGTTAAGAATAGTAGAATGGAAAGGGATACTGTTCCTTTAAAATATTTTTTATTAGAACTTTAAAAGAATGTTAGACTTCCTCCTTTCCAATGTTTAACATGTAGAATTGAGGTGGCTTTTTTAATAGGAAAAAAAATAGATTAGGGAGGTGCCATCAAGGGATCGAACTCCCTAAAAGGAAGAGTAATTTATACATTACAGATCTGGATAGTGGTGTATTTCTCATGTGTTTTTTTCTTTGAGGTCAAGCTAATTGAAATTAATACTATTAATTTGGACTATGATTTGATTGCATTTTACCTACTTTTAAAGGTAGGTAAGAAAATCTAGGGATAAGTGGCATTGTCATGTATAGTTGTTGTGGATAGTTATATGATCTCTTTGATCATAGATTGAGTCTCTAACTCAAGACTATTGACCTTATAGGAGGTAACTATTGAAGAACATGCATGAGATTGAGCCAAGCCAACCTCATTATTGTGACTCAAATAAATATGTACTGAGTGCCTAATAAAAAGGCACTTTTCCGGTGCTATTTCAAGGTCAAATTTCTTATTTCAGTCTCTCTTAGGGGCTGGGGTCGCTGTAGTTAATGAGAGTATGGAATAAAAGTGAGGAAGAATATTTAAGAGAGAAATAATTTCTGCTCTGTTCTTTAGTAACCTTCAGGAAGAACCCTTTCAATTGCCCAGGTTATTCTAAAAGGAGCAGGAAATGTCACTTTCTTCCCTCTTTGATGTCTAAGTGAAGCAAAATAAGCTGCTTTTCTGTGTTTGGTCAGTGAAATTTGTGCCTTAGTGAATCTTTCACCTTTACATTCCTTGTGAAAACAAGTACTCAAATCATAAATTAACTGGTGTAGAGCACTTCAAACATACCTTGGAATGGAAAATTGAAATGTTATCAAAACTTTTCTATAGACATTGTTTTTTTTTTTAGACTTTGAAAGTCCAGGTGGCAGGATAGTGCCAGGTATGCACAGAAGTGGATAGACATTGAATTTTCCACTGTGAACTTCACTGGTATTTATCATGTAGAATTGAGACCGTTGTTAAGTGTTCCCTCCTAGGTGAATATAGCGTCTTTTGTTATTTCCCACATTCCTTCAAGGAATAGATCTGTGCAAATTTCTTAACATGATGGAAAAAACAAACATGCTGAACTATAGAGCATGTTCTATTGATTGGCTTAGTGGCATCTTTATATATAACATACAAAATTTGCATGTGTGTGTATTAAACCAGGAAAAGGAGTTGGCACTTCAGAGAGCTCCTATAGGTTTTACCTGTGGAATTATGCATCTTTGGAGATCGTGCTAACAAGATTAACAGTTGATAAAGAGGAGCTTAATGCATCCCTACAGTCAAGCCTCCTATATGTGGTTGAAGTGCATAATGCAGTGTGTGTGTGTGATACCATACACAGGTAGGTGACACAGTGGACTACTAAGGGAGACCAGAATTCAAATCCTACCTCACACTTAAGTTATGTGACCCTCGGCAGTTCACTTAACCTCTGCCTCAGTTTCCTCATCTATAAAACAAGGATAATAACACCTATCTTACACGACAGTGGTGAGAATCAAATGAGATTACATGTAAAGCACTTTGTAAACATTAAGGCATATGTAAATGCTAGCTACCATCTGTGTATGTGTTTGTATACATGAAGCTTATGAGTATAAAGACCTGTGTTTTCATCAGTTAAAGGAGTTTCCCAATCAGGAAGTGCTCCATACAAGTGCAAATCAGCAACTATTATGCAATTTAATAGTTTTAGGGATTTGGTCAGGGCATTGAAAAAAAAAAGTAATTTGCCTTGGCCTCGCATCTCATTGCCAGTATGTTAGAGGCAGAACTTGAACCCTGGTTATGCTGACTCCAAGGCCAGCTCATTGCAACAATTTTTGGGGCTTTGCAAAAAGAAATATAATGCAGGAAGAAAATAAGTCCTCTTTTCACTTTGTTTTGGCCAACTCTGGTGAGGTAGGAAACAGACCAAGACTAACATATATCTATTGGGCCTTCATGTACCAGGTTATTGGAGCTAAGCATCACAGATCTTGGTCACTACATTCTCAATTTTTTTAGGTTGATAGTTTCATGTTATGCACAGGTGGCTTTTATTCATTTATTATTTCCTCAAGATTCCTAGCCTTTACATTTCAGTCCCATGAAACTTTCTTGGAGATCAAACTTTGAGGACACAAAGGCAAAAGTGAAACCATTGCTGCTTCAAAGCTATTGGGAGATGCAAGTGTTTCAGCATATATAGCATAAGAGAGAATTTTGGGATGGGGGGAGGAAGGCACCAGCAGCTAAGAGGGATCAAGAAATGCCTCTTGTAGGAGGTGGTACTTAAAGGAAATTAGCATTTTGAGAGGCAGAGGTAAGGCAGGAGAGCATTCCAGGCTTAGAGTGTGCTCTCTTGCATGGCCCATACAAAGGCCACAGAGATTTGACTGGACATTGGGTTCAGAGAAAGGTGATAATGTAGGTGGTCAGAAATAGGCCACAGTAGCACTGTCCTAGTCATCAGGTATCAAATGAAGTCTGAATTTTCAAAAAATTTTTAAAGGTTTTCCCATCATACCTTTTCTGTTTTTGAAAAACTATAAATGCTTAACTCCATAGAAATTTAGAAATTTGATTGAAAATCAAATGGAAAATTGTGCTTTAAAGAGTGGTCTGCAAACAAGGTAAGGTAGAACATTTGGGTTTCCTGATTTTTCAAGCTAAGCTATAACAGAATTTAAGAGAAAATAAAGAGAACAAATTATATTCAAGCCCTTTGGATGTGTCTATTGACAAATTATGCTGTATTTTATTCATTCAAGTAACTATAAGAACTTAGTTTCATAAGGCCAGATACTTTATTAGCTTAATTTATCCAGGTTGAAAGTAACAGATAAGTCAGATTAGCCTCTTCCTTACTTGGATGCCAAGAATTCTCACTAATTTAGACTAATTCTCAGCAAACATTCATTTCAAGACCATGCCTGATTTAGTCCCTGTGCCCTTTAGATTTTTCTTTATTGTCTTTTAATCTAATTTTAGCAGCTTATCCTGGCATACTGACTGACCACTCTTCTGGTGTGCTGCATCTCACTGGACAATCATTCTTAGAGTCTAAGTAGTTCAAGACCACCCACTTGACTTATGGCTTGTTTTATGCCAAGTGCAAAACCAGAGTTTTCTATCACCCAAGATTTAGGGGAAGAGTTAAAATAGTATTCGACCTGAAGTGTATGTCACCACCACTGCTCTCATTCATGCTTCTAGGATGGGGTGCTGTTAGGTATAACTGAGGTTACTTCCAATCTGGAAGTCATAGTTCTTTCATATATAGTCAGTCTCACTTGATCTTAACCAGGTCCCTATGAGGTTAGGGATTCTTAATTTATAGATGAGTCTAAGGCTCAGGAGTGAGCTGCATCAAGTTAAGTGCTGGAGCCAGACTGAGTTCCACCCCAGAGGTCTTGTCCACTAAACTACCACTGATTTTGTTGAGAAGCATTTTGAGAGCTCTCATTTATTCAACAAATATTTATTTATTAAGCACCTGTGTCTAAGGTATTTGTAAAACATTTCAGGAATTTACATAGCTAAAAATAGCCTCCCATTTCCATTTGTCATCAAGAAAAAAGAATTGCCCTATTTTATCCCTCCTCAGCATCTGTGAAAATTGGTGTGAGGCCATAGGAGAATGTGATTTTTAAGCTTCCATAAAAAAGCAGTTCCTAATCTGGCACCAAAATGATGATGCTGGAATAGTGACCATCAATGAGACACGGGTTCCTAGTTTATGAGGAAGATGTTTCTTTCTATAACTAGAATGTTCCTAGGAAGCCCTCAGCTCCAGTGTCACATCAAAGTGGTACCAAAATGTATATCAAAAGTCACTGAAACGTTCAAGGCCTTGACAAAAGGCCTGATCCTCCCTTTTGTATAGGACGTCCTACTGAGGTAGGTGTGAGCCTGGTGACCTCAATCATGTTAATGGCTTGATAGCTTCAATCCACTCAGCTCTCTCTGCCTTGCTGCTGGCTTGGATGTAGTAGTGGATGTCATCCTTTGTGATCACTTTGAAAAGGTTGCCTTGTACATTGCCTTTAACACCTAGAGAGAAAAGTCAACTAGTGAAATGATGGCTTGCTTTTAAAACTCCAGCTTTGAGCTTCCATGTAACAACAAACTTGCTCTTGCCGACCAGGAAAGAAAGAAAAGTTTTAATAAGCTACAGCGGGCTTTACCCTGGTAAGAAGATGCACTTGTACCTATGATACTTAGCATGCATTAGAGCAGTACCAAACAATGCTAGGTGAGGTGGTTAGAATCTAGCAGATGCTTGCCAAAAGTAAAGTTAATGGAAATGGAAGAATGGCCTCACAATGCATATTGCTTGCTGTATTGTGAATATGAATTGAAGGATCCTCCACTGTGGCAATTAAAAGTAAATGCCTCTAGACAATTCTCAAGAGGGTAATTACAAGATAAGTGGCAAATCTGTGTTGGTAGGAAGAACTGAAATACTGCAAGTTCCATCACCAATGAAATCATAGGTCTGAGCCAAATAAAACGATTCACTGCTCAGTAAGTTACAGAGCAAAGGAAACCATCTATGTGATGTAGTCCATCTCATTGTTTTTCTTTATCTCCTGACTGCTTCGGTCTTGACAAGTGGAATGCACAAATATGATACTGTCTTAGCGAAGTGGTACCTCAGACAAAAAAAAAATGCTTCATCCCTGTGCCAGAGGCATAGAAATTTCATTTTCTGGGGGCAGAGTAAAACATGAGCATGTAGAAAAATACTGAAGTCTCCTCACCTGCCATTTTTTTTTCCCCTATCTGTTCTAAAATAGTGGCAGCAAACAAGATCTTTCCTTCCTATTGTACATCCAAGAAGCAAAAGGTATAAAGGGACTACTCTTTTCACCTATCAAACCTGTGCAATCCTTTTTTTTTTTTTATCAGTGTAGTGCTCCTGAGACAATGGATGAATGCTTGTGGTCCCTGCTGTCTTGGGGTGGTATGCAGAAGCTGTCTCTTACCAGTGGGAACTCCATTATCCTCCAAAGCTGAAACCAGGGAGCCCCGGAGGGAAAATCCACCAACTGGCTTGTTCTCCTCCTGTAGACACAAAAAAAATCCAAGTGAGAATCATGACTGCACTAACGCAAAAAGAAATGAGTTGCCTTCAACTACAGAAGCAAGATTTGCTTGAAGCTAGAACAAAATAATGGCAACAGAAGTCATGGCGACAGCTGACAGTCATGTGGTCCTGTGCACAAGTATCTGGGATGTTTGCAGGGTCACTCCTCAGATAAGGAAGCTTGGACTTTTCAAGTCAGTATCAACTCTATAATGTTGGCCTCAGTCGTTCATTCATTCTTGCTGACTTGGGATGTCTATTAGCTACATCTTCACAAATAAAGTCTGATAATTACTTCTGGCCTGACCCTTTTCCCTGACAAAAGAACCATCCTACCCAAAAACTTTCTTTTCTTAAAGCTGAATTTCTGTCATAATGACATCTGACACTCTGCCCATCCAAAAACATTTTTTACCTCTATTTCTAACAATATTATAGAATTGGCACATTAATCAAGGGATATCACAAAGAAGTACATCAATCATTGTTAAATCAGTGTAAATACGAGTTAGGAAGAAAGAGAGATGACTATGGGCTTTAGGTCTCTAAAGGCTTCATGGAAGGGATATTACTTTAGTTGGGCCTTAAATGATAAGTAGCATTTGAATAGCAAGAGAAGTAGGGATGGATGTCATGAGCAAAGACAGGAAAGGGCAAGGGGGTATTTCCAGAGAATCTGTGTGGTGAAGTCAGAGGGTTTGTGTAGAAAAATGAACGATAAGATTGGAAAGGTAGGATTGGGGTTAGATTATGGAAGACTTGAATGAAAAGATAAGACTGAAATGTTTCATCACAGGGGAGGCAAGATCTCCCAACAGGTAATCACAAATAATCTTGAAGACAGACCTATGGAGAGCCATAATGAAACTAATCTTTAAGAAATATCTAGTCTACTTTGGAGGGGGAGGAAATTGAAAACAAGAACAGAAAATTCTATTAGAAGGGTTCTGCTGCAGTAATCAAATGAAAAAGGTCAAAACTGGTATCACTATTGTCCACTGAAACAGAAAGGAAGAACAATTATAAATCAGTTTAGGAAGAAAGAGATGGCTGGGAAGGAATCGTCACACCTCACATTTCATCATGAGGATTTTCCTGAAAATAATCCTTCGAGGTAGGCATGGCTTGCAAGTATCACCCCCCAGGGCTGGTGCTGAAGTGTGCTCACCTTGGAAGGGTTGTAATAGTGCAGGAAAGCAGGGTCACTCCTCAGAACAAAGCGCCTCACCTTCCAGTTTTTCCTCTTGTGTCCCTGGAACAGAGAAAAATAATTGTTCCTTACAATCCTTTCACACATCAACTGAATTTTTAAGCAAGTTCAAGCAGAACCTGCAAACCAAAATATGCAACATTGTTTTGGGAATTTGCTGAAGTCATCCCCTGATCAGAAGAGTTTTATGAGAAAAGGAGCTCCATTTTGCAGAAAGGAGAGCACAGAAAATGGAGTGTGTTGTCCTAATCTAAACAAAACTTGGGGGGAGGAGAAGCAGGAAGGCAAGTTAGGCAAACAGAGTTTGTTTTTTTAGCAAACTTCACATTGATATTTTTTGTGTTCAGTCATTTCCGATTTTTTGTGAACCCATCTGGGGTTTTCTTGGCAAAGACACTAGAGTGGTTTTGCCATTTCTTTCTCTAGCTCATTTTAAAGTTGAGGAAACTGAGGAAAACAGGGTGAAGTGACTTGCCCAGGGTCACGCAGCTAGGAAGTGTCTGAGGTCAGATTTGAACTCAGGAAGATGAGTCTTCCTAACTCTAGACCCTATCCACTGCACCACCTAGTTGCCCTTCACATTGATGCAGATATACATATATAGTTCAAGTCCTGGCTCTGGCATATGCTGGTGGTGTGGCTTCAGTGCCCCAGACAACTATAAGACTAAGTCACAGATGAGTTCTTGATCCAAATGGGTTGAGGAGAGAATTTCCATATGCCAATAACACCCCATGTCCAGACTTCCTCCCCCCCAAAATAAAAAAAAATAAATACAAGCACATTTTGAACTTGCTTCCCATAGCTAATATCTGTCTGTGTAATCCAAACTGCACCATAGATTCTCTTCCCTCATTCCCTGGCTACTACAGTTGGCATGGTATTCTCTTTCTGCCCAATTGAGAAGCCCACTTAGCTATACCTGCTTGGCTAAATATCCTTGTTTAATCACTGTGCCACTCAGTTCAGCGGTGCTAAAGTTGAATTCCTCTTTCAAATTTGTCTTCTTCTTATAGCTTTCAGTCTACAGAAAATAAAGAAAGGAGCAACGATTGGGCTTCCAAGAAAATTAAATTCCTCGAGTCAGAAACAGATCAGAACCCATAATGAAATTGTTCGTGTGACTAATTCCACCCCTCCCCATAGCTGTATAGCACACATTGCACAATTTTTTCTAACCTCCTCTACGCAAGTCTGTGTCTCCAGCAGCAGGCAATGGAAAGGAAGGTACTATTAATGGAGGTGCTGCTACCACTTACAAAAATGTACAGGGCCGTGGAATCATCTACAAACTGCTCTGCTAAATCCCCAGAGCGAATGGCCTCAGTGCTTCGGTTTCCAATGGGCTGAAGGAAGTTCTCCTCCATCAGCATGGAGGCAAGAGTGACAGCTTCAATCCGACTAGCAGCAAAGTGACTGGAGATTAGCCAGTCCACCAGAGAAGAGCCTGGGGGAAGGTGAAGACAGGTCAAATCTCCCTAGGGCAGAAGGTATTGCCTCCTTCACAAGCCTCTCAGCATCCAGACCCGTTAAATCGCCAGCCTCATCCCAAATAAAAACAGACTGTCTGACAACACAACCCCACAGCAGACTGAAAGACTGCCAGTGTGCCCCACCATAATGACAAAGAACATTGATGGCACACCCCACTACCCAACAGTTTGCCAACAAATTCTACCTCAGCACAGCCAAGCGGGCCAGGACATGGCGCTGAGTTCAACTCAAGCAGGCCCAGGCACATTATCTCTGAAACCCCTTGAGCAAAATTCCAGACCCCCAGCTATCTGTGTATTTGCATAGTGCAACCCACCCTCCCCTGCCAGCCAACAAGTGGCCATCTCCTCGGGCATACCTATGAAGGTCTTTTTATAGGTGCTTCCCTGTTCCATGTTGGGCGATGGGCGTATTCCACAACTACTGTCATGCATCTTATCAATTATATCACTACGCAATGCAAGAGAAAGGAATTAGTGTCTTGTTCAATGTGGGAAAGGCACCCTTTGCCAAAATGTACCCATCTGGCCATGGTGTACGAGGGAAGAGAGCTGGCTGAAAGTGGTCTATATTATTAGAAGGTAAGCTGCTAATAGATGGATTAGTAGCAAGATGGCTTGGCAGGACCAGGAGGTAGTTCTGAATCTAACACGGTGGAGTAGAGGGATTTGGGGGGGAGGGGCGGGAAGAGAAATGACAGAATTTGAGATCAAATATAAAACCCTTCATAACCTGGCCCCTTCCTAACTTTCTAGTCTTTTTACACCTTACTCCTCCCAATGTATTTTGCAATCCAGTGACAATGGCCTCTTTGTTCCTCACACAAGTTCCAGACATTTCCACTGTTCGTCCTCTATTTCTGGAATTCTCTCCCCCCTCATTTCTACATCCTGGCCTCCATGGCTTCCTTCAAATCCCAGCTAACTCTTCTATCTTGTTCATACATAGTTGTTTACACGTTGTCTCTGTCACTGAGAGCAGGGACTGTCTTTTGTCTTCATATGCCCAGCACTTAGCACAGAACTGGAACATGGCAGGCACTTAATAAATGCTTCTTGACTGACTGACTGAGGTGCTTCAAAGAACCATTTGTAGGTTGAAGTAAAAAATATCAAACAGGAATGGGAAGATTGATACCTGGAAGAGTAGTAGAACTATGGATCAAGTATGTAGCATTATTGGGCAGCTAGGTGGCACCGTGGATAGAGCAGTGGGCCTGAATCTGGAAGACCCGAGTTCAAATCCAGCCTCAGACATTTGACACTTACTAGCTGTGTGACCCTGGGCAAGTCACTTCACTCTATTTGCCTCCGTTTCCTCATCTGTAGAATGAGCTAGAGAAGGAAATGGGAAACTACTCCAGTATCTTTGCCAAGAAAACCCCAAATGGGGTCACAAAGCTTTAGACACGATTGAAACAACTGAACCACGAAGATGTGGCATGATTAATCACTTGCCCTTAAAAGCTCTGAAGATAGTGATAAATGTAGGACAGGACGTGGAAAGAGGAAGTCACACTCACTGAAGGCTGATGTGAGAGGGAAGCTGGAAGGAGTTTTTCATGATGTGAAGCTGCTGGACTTTTCCTGGTTGTCCGGCATGAATTGCACCTGTTATTTCAAAGGCCCAGGCATCCCTCTCTTCTCTGGAACAAGCCTCCAAGAAGTAGTCTGTGGATGTTCTGGTCCTCAGCTTAATGAGGAGCTGTGGCAAGAAACAGAGTCAGCCAATCACATTGGAGCTTGGCAAGAATATGCAAAAGAGTGGAAGGGTTAGAACACCCTCTGGGACCCAATCAGGATGAAACAAAGAACCCTATGGATCTAAAATGCCTTAGAGACCAATGAGATTGGATTCTAGACACCAAAATCCCTTAGCATTTCAGGTCCTATAGGATAATGATTTTCTAAAAGTCTAAAATTCTCACTACCCATAAATTGTCATCCTATCTCCTGAGCTTGCTTAGGCTTTGAACAGTACTCATAGGCAGAGACAAGACTTCATCATAGCCACAGGATTTAAAGCTAGAAGTGACCTCCACTTGTTATCTCTTGAAATTGGTCATTTACTTAATCTTAAATCATTTACTAAGAATTCTTAAAATGCAATGTGTAGGGAAACTGGAGAGAAAATACAGCAAAATGGCAAGAGGACCCTCTTTGTCACCTGTTAACTATGGAACTGTGAACAAGTCACTGAACATCTGTTCTCTCATCAGAAAAATGAGGAGCTCAGACTAGAAGACCTCTCTGGTTCTTTCTGTCTGCCTCAGTTTCCTCAGTTGTAAAAGGGGGAAAATAATAGTACTTACCTCTCAGGGTTGCTGTGAAGATAGTATATTTGTAAAGTGCTTAGGAACACTGGATTTTTATTTATTAAGCATGATTTAATTTATTATTGGCAATTATTAGGTAGGCACTTATAAATGCTTTTTTTCCTTTCTTCTATAAAGGGAGAGCATATGTCTTATAGATGGTAGTTCTAGTGCCTAGCATATTTCATTATATTATGAAAACATATCGATTGATTCATTAATTCAGTTGCTTTATAAGGATGGGGTAGGCTTGCCTCTAATGTTAAGAAGAACAAATCTTAGCACAAGTCAAGAGTCAATCACCAAAATGGTAAAAGGCAATGTGCTCAGTAGTTAGAGTGCTCAATTTATAATCCAGAATCTTGGATTTTAATTCTGCCATGATCATAAGTATTGCTTCTCAGTGCCTGAGTTTCCTCATCTGTAAAATGGGACTAATACCAATTATGCTACCTACCTCAAAGGGCTTTTGTTAGGAAAGCATTCTGGAAACAAAGTGTCATATAAATGCGAATTACTGTCATCATTATAACTACTAAAAATGATAATAAAGTGGTAAAAACATCCTAGAGAGGTCATATCAAAACATCAAGTTGACCATAATAAGAATAAATCCAAGCGGGCAATGGTGGTAGGAGTCTGGGGATGAGTAGAGAAAAGAAAGAACTAAAGGGAAGGGACTTTCATCCCACTGTTTTTCTCTTCTTTTTTTAAATAAAAAAAGTAAGAACTTTTTCCACATACCGGTCTATTCTCATACTCCAGGCAAGGGCACGTGATGGTACAGCCATCCAGGAGGATCCGGCCTTTAGGAGAGGTCCCTCTCCGGCCCCCCTCAAGCTTATAATACAGCAGCGTGTTCTGCCTCAATACAAACCATCTCACCTTCCAGTTGTGGACAACGTGGCCCTGTGGGCAAATGGAAATTCCACGTCAAAAACCATGCAGCGCGCCAGCAGGGAAAAGCACTCATCCTCCTCCCTCAAGGTATCAGCCAAGCTGAGTACAGGCAAGCGTGCACCATGGCCAAGCAGTAACTGGCATGGGCATGTTTCCCTGCCCCTCCCCTAAATAAAAAGGGCTGTGTCATAGCACTCCAACCAGAGAGAAGTGAACGCATCAATTTGCCTGATCACGCTTTCTGTTGTGCATGTGACAGGAACTTGGCTTGGCTCTCAGTTTCCCCATCTGTCAGATCAAGGTTTGGAACTACATAATTTCCAAGGTCCCTTCCAGCCCCAAGTCCTGTGATCCTGGGATTGCAATCCTGACTTCAGGTCCTTGGTCTGGAGGTTTTTGACTATCTCCTCTCTCTGTGCCTTTGAACAGACCATCCTCCATGCCTGCAATTGCCTCTCTCCTTACCTCCTCCTTCTTAGAATTCCTACTTTCATTCAAGGCTCCACTAGTTCTATGGGAAGACGTTCCGGATACCATTATCAGTGCTCGGAACTTCCTCAAACAAAGATCTTGAACGTTTTTCAATTCTGGGCTTCTTAAAAAGATAAACCTAGCAAGTCCTAGGCTCTGACCAGTATTCCTCCATTTTGTGCGTAGGGCCAGCAGAAGAAGGCCTCTGTAGCTGAGAGGTCATGACAGCCGTCTTGCATCCAAAGGATTCAAATGTGCACTAAAGGAGAAAATTAGTTGAAAAGGGGGAGTTTTAGGGGCAGCTAGGTGGCGCAGAGGATAGAGCACCGGCCATGGATTCAGAATGACCTGAGTTCAAATACAGCCTCAGACACATAACACTTACTAGCTGTGTGACCCTGGGCAAGTCACTTAACCCCATTGCCTAGCCAAAAAAAACAAAAAACGGGGGAGTTTTGGGACTTAAATAGGTCAATGGAAGGAGGGAGTGTCCTTTCAGAGGCCAAAAAAGAATGAGTTTGGTTCCCAGCCAAGCCACAAGGTATATCAGAAAGCAAGGTCTGGGCTTGTTTCCCAGAGCTGCGCATAACCTTTTGGTTAGGCTCCAGCTTGGTGAAGGTTTGTTCCTATTGGAGTCAAAACCCCCATGGGTACTGACAAACTCATTCTTTCACTCATTCGTGCAATAAGCATTCATTTATTATCAAGTAAAAACTCTGAGCTTAAGCACTCTATTAAATGTTATTGAGGGATGCAAAAGAAATAGGAGATATGGTCCCTGGCAATATTCTTTTAAGTGTGAGCAGAAAATCACACTGTATAACAAGTTTTGTAGACCAAGAATACAGGCATAGAGGTTACTACTGTTATCAAATAAAACTTACAAGAAAGTTTATCCAAAACATAATGAAATGCATAATAATTATAGCACTGCATGATGATCAGACCAAATGGGAAGGAGTCTACATAAATTTCTATAAGGAATATTACATATCCAAATCAAGTTTCAACATTACTTTTTTTCCCTCTTAGCTTTTTGGGATCTATAACATAGATTGAATAATTTCTTTTATACTACATACAGGTTAATTTTCTTTAAATATACACATACATTAAGAAGCAAGGAAAGCTTCATTTTTTTTTTAACTTTCCGTTCTCTGACCCTGGCATTCTATCTTTTCTCCCTGTGCCTTCAGACAGGCTGTTCTCCAGGCCCAGAATGCTCTCCTTTTCCACCCTCCCCTCTTAAAATCCCTAGTTTCATTCAAGGTTTCCACCTGCTACAAGAGAAATTCCTGACACCATTAGTTATCAGTGCTCTATACCTCTGAAAATTGTGTGTGTGTGTGTGTGTGTGTGTGTGTGTGTATGTGCACGCTTATCTGGTTACAAGTTTCCTTTCATTAGAATGTAAGTTCCCTGAGGTCTGGGACTGTCTTGCTTTTGAAGAGCTGAGCACATAATAAGCACTTCATTCATTCTTTTCTTTTCTTTTCTTTTTGAGGCAATTAGGGTTAAGTGACTTGCCCAGGGTCACACAGCTAGTAAGTGTCAATGTCAAATGTCTGGTGTAAAACCAGATTTGAACTCAGGTCCTCCTGACTCCAGGCCGGTGCTCTATCCACTGTGCCATCTCGCTGCCCCAATTCATTCTTTTTATCCCCAGTATCTGTCACAATTCAACGTACTTAGTAAGTATATAATTCATAGGATTGGATTGGTTTACAATCCAACTCCCCAGTTTCTGGGGTACTTTATATCTTTGGCCAAGGATTGAGGACTTTTGTAATTCTTCTGTATCTCCAACCCTCACAAAGTACCCTCCCTTGTCTTCTCTTACCTCAGGGGTCTTTAGGAAGAGCTTTAGGTGTCTTAGGTGTAAAAGACCTTAGGGTTGCATAGGGCTAGCCTTAGGGCCAGGATGGGCCAGGGCCCATGTCTTCTCCTAACCACTGGACATGAAATCTTAGTAGTGGAAAGGACTATATATATATATATATATATAGTCCTTTCCACTACTACGATATAAACATATATATATATTTTTTTTTTTAAGGCAATTGGGGTTAAGTGACTTGCCTAGGGTCACACAGCTAGTAAGTGTCAAGTGTTTGGTCTGAGGCTGGATTTGAACTCAGGTCCTTCTGACTTCAGGGCCGGTGCTCTATCCACTGCGCCACCTAGCTGCCGTGTGTGTGTGTGTGTGTGTGTGTGTGTGTGTGTGTGTGTGTGTGTACACACATATATATATATTTATATATAGAGAGAGAGAGAGAAAGAGAGAGAGAGAGGAAAGGAGCATGGGGGCGTGGAGAGAGACAGAGACAGGGATGGAGGGGGGGAGGGAGAGAGAGGGAGAGAGGGAGAGAGACATAGAGAATTTACTGAAGGCTTATTAATGTGTCAGGCACTGTGCTAAGCACTGAAGATACAAGCAAGAAAGAAAGTCCCTGCTCTCCCTCAAAGGGCTTATATTCTAATGGGGGAAAGCAACATATAAAGGGGCACTGAAAAGAGGGAGGAGAGGAGAGGAAGGACACCCACTCAAGAGCAATATGACTAGCAAAAAGAAGGAGGTGGAGCACAGAAAGAATTGAGGTGAAAGCAAGATGAAGCGTGACTTCCCAATGTGGTCTTAGGAAGGAAGTCATCAATAAATAGGGAAAGGAGGGTCTCAGGTCAGAGTTTTCCAGGGTAGTAATGCTGCAAGATAGGAGAAGGAGGTGGAATCTGGAGAAAGCTGAGGAAAGGTACAGGGCAGTATAGACATTAGACATCATCTCTTCCCAAAACATATACAGATAGATAGATAGATATAGATACAGATATAGATATAGATAGATAGATATACCTTTTTTTTTTTTGACGAGGCAACTGGGATTAAGTGACTTGCCCAGAGTCACACAGCTAGTAAGTGTTATGTGTCTGAGGCTGGATTTGAACTCAGGTCCTCCTGACTCCAGGGCCAGAGCTCTATCTACTGCGCCACCTAGCTGCCCCCAAAACCTATATTTTATGTGAGCGAATAAAAGCCCAGGTTCAATTACTCGCCCAAGATCAGATGGTAAGTGGTAGTCTCCTAAGCTGTGCTCTTTCTATTGTGTCACATTCCCTATGGGAAGGAGTAAAGGACGGAAGAGGAGTATGAACTAAATATAAAAGGTCACACCATTTAACAAAAAATAGACAAGAAGGAAGGACAGGCCTAGGCTGAACGTGCTCACACAGAAAGAGAAAGGAAAGAATGCAGTGAGAATGGGCCCTTCTTGAAACCCTCATCATGCCTGATAATCTGGGGAAGGAGAAAAGAGAAGACAGGAACAAATAGATTTTGGGGAATGTCAGATTGTGTTGCATATTTTTGAGATGATGAGGAAAACTCATACAGACTCTTCTTTTTCTCTCCTCCCCAGTTTGAGTGGAAGACTGACTGAGAAGCATGCCTGAAATTTTAGAATTAGTGAATGAGCTGAATGAGGCAAATCCCAAAGACTTTTTGTAGGCTATCGGGGGATCTGGTCCAGAGAATTTATGCCCTAGAGAGGAGGAAGCACCACCATGTTTAGAATGAAAAGACCTGTGTTTGAATCCTGACTCTGCTACTTACGTATGTGACTGACCTTGGGTACACTAACCTCTCTAAACCTCTGAAAAATGCCTAGGTTGGAAGAGATAAGTAGCGAAAGATTCAATGAAATGGTTGTGAAAAGAAGAAAGGCAAATTATCAACAATTACATAAAAAATGCCCTAAATCATTAATAATAAGAGAAATTAAAATTTCTCTTATTAAAAGAACTCCGAAGTACTAACTCCAAACACTCTGAAACATTACCTCACATCCACCAAACTGACAAAAATTATTATTTTAAAAAGGGAAATAATCCATGTTTGAAGAAGCTGAAAAAAGACAAGAACATGAAACAGCTGTGGGCAGATGTATGAATTGGTCGGACCATTCTAGAACATTATCTGGGTCCATGTAGGAAAAAATTGGCTAAATTGTTCATACCTTTTGACTCTGTTCACAGAACATCATATGTGAGTATGTATGCATGTCAAACACCATTCTACATTCTGTATATGTTTGTATATATACACATA